TGACCACCTGTGTCTAATTTTACCACCTTTATAAGAAGCTAGTTCTCTGAAATGCAAATTAATCGTCCACACCAAGTACAGCTTTGAGGATCTTCCAGTTGTCCATAAAATTAGGAAGAACAGTCAGGAAGTTCATTTGAGTGGCAGGCACAGTAGGAAGGGATCGGGAACAGCCTCGGACTCTGTGGAGGACACGGCACGAAGATTCTGGGGGCCGTTGATGCATTTCAAGTCTTGAAACGCTGCTCACACAGCCGCACCACTTCTGGAAGCAGCAGTCTGAACGAGTGCTGCCCCCAAAGAGTCCTGTTGGTGGCGCTATTTGGAGGGTTGGGGTGCATAACCTTAGGAGGTGAGACCTTCAAGAAGGAAGTACAGCACTGTGGGTGAGGAGTGGGGTTTTACTGCCTGGCCCCACTTTCTGCTTCCTCTAATTCCTGCATAGAGGGTGCCATGCTTGCTTCCTGCCCCTGCCGCGACGCCTCCCTGCCTGGTCCTCTACCATCCCCTCCGTGATGGAGTCCAGCTCAAGCTCTAAGTTAAAATGAACCCTTTCTCACTAAGGTTGCTTTTGGTTGGGGTATTTTTTTGGTTCGGATATTTTTTATCACAGCAACAGAAAAGTAACTAATACACTAGGGAAAGACAGGTGGCTACATTTTATTCATAAAAGTGTAAGTTTGCCAAACTCTGGCCACATGGATGGCTCCGGTTAAACTCAGTGAGTCACAAAACAAAATGAGTAATTATGAACTTGAAAGATTTGTGGGGAGGAGGGGGTGAGTGGTCAGCATGCACTGTGTACACCCATGTGTGAAACTGTCTAAAAACAAACTTAATGAAAAGTAGCTATAAAGATGCCTGCCACAACTGCCATTGAAATAGAGAGCAAACTGACACACGGCTGGGTTTGTAGAGCACCTGTCTACAACGCATGCGGCCCTTAACTGGACCCCTGGCACAGAAAAACAAATTAACAATAAAATAGAGAGCAAGAGCGTAGAATTAAAAGGTCCTATCTGGGGGAAGAGAACTGCTCAGTTCATACACTGCCTTGGGGTTGTTGTGGACATACGGGGTAGAGTCTTCAACGTCCACACTTGTAATAGAGCTGCGAGACTAATGATGGACCCCGCCCTGAGGTCACTGAGGGTTTAACAAAATGCATCTGAGGAACCCGGGGTGTGCTTCAAGCACTCAGTGTTAGATTACACTCAACCAAACGTGAGAGGCTGCCAGAGTCTCTAAACTTACTGTGATGCATGTCTTGGTGCACTGGGAACACTGTAACAAAATACCTTAGACTGAGTGATTTATAGGCATCAGGGTGTTGTTCATAGTTTTAGAAACCGGGGTGTTCACGATGAAGACACCAGCACGTGCAGGGTCTGCTTGGGGCCCACTCTTCACAGATGGACACGACTACACATCCTCAAAGAGTGGAAAGGCAAAGGGGCAAACAAGCTCCCTCCGGCCCCTTTTAAAGGTCATTCACCCTGTTCGCAATGGCTTTCACCGCCACTGCCGCCGCCACCACCACCACCTCTGTTTTTAGAGACAGGGTTTCTCTGTGTAACTCTGGCTGTCCCGGAATTCACTCTGAAGACCACGCTGGCCTCAAACTCAGAGACACTTGCCACCCCCGCCCTCCCCTCAGCCTCCCAAGTAGTGAGAAAAAGGTTGTGTACTACCATGCCCAGCTCCCACCTCTTTTTAATCAGTATATATATGGTGTGGCAGGGGACAGTCTCAATATAATTACAATATAACAGGAATTTTAAGTATTAATTGTATATGAAATTCTTTTCTTAATACTGTGATATTGTAGATGGTTTTAATGTTTGAATTTGGGGGAGATAACAGCCATAACCCTTTATATCAATTAAAATCTTATAGATCAATATTTTACTTAAAATACATTTATACAAGTTTCATTAGTAATTTGCCTATAGAATTGTTAACAATTAGCAGGTATTCGATTTGCTACTAATATTCAGATTTATTAGGGCACAGATCGATCGGTGTGTCATTTAGGAGGCCAGTGTAAAAGCTGGCATTAAGACATTGTTTTAATCAGCACGGCCTTCAGTCTTGACCAGACTAGAAGCTTCTCTCAAAGTGGCTGGCAGTTAGAGCAGGCTCACAACTGCCCAACTGCTACAGAAGTGACTATGAAGTGCCCATCCCTAATGAGACATACATGCCAACGCCTCCCCCAAGACTCAGGGAACATGGAGGAAAAGGGGGCCCAGAGGCTGTAAGAGGTGGAGGGTGGGGAGAGGGCTGTCTTCTCGTCATGATGTGGCTGGTGCATCCACGAAGTCACCGCAGTCGTCAGTCACTTGCACAAGGTGAAGCCAACACGGTCAGTCCACCTTCCAAGAAGCAGCCTAAGTGGACTCACTGGGTTATGAAAAATGAGGAGGAGCCTAAAGTGGACTGGTTGGGGGCACCTTGGGAGGACTGGAGGGGAAGAGTTGAATGCAGATGTGATCTAGACACGGTGTTTACACATAGGAAATTGTCGAGGAGTAGAATATACTCTGAGTAATTTTAGAAGACATTCTATAAAAGGGGAAAAATAGGTTATGAGACAGGACTGTGTGTGAACACAGCATATATTTTCTACATGTTTTCTCTTGCTTTTAGTGTGTGTGTGTGTGTGTGTGTGTGTGTGTGTGTGTGTGTGTGTGTGTGTGTGTGTGTAGGTGAGGGTAGGGTCTCAGCTGCCTTCCATTGTTCTCCACCTTAGATGTTTTTACATAATGTCTCTCACAGAATCTGATATTGCTGTTTGAGCTAGGATGGATGGCCACCAAGCTCCCAGGACCCACCTGTGTTTGCCCACACTCCCCAGGCTAGAGTTACAGACATGTATGGCTGTGCCCAGATTTTATAAGGGAGATGGGGATTTGAACTGGGATCTTCTTGCCTCCACAGCAAGCACCAATACTCACTGAACCATCATCTCTTCAGCCTCCCAATTTTCTTTTTTGTTTTGGAATAGCTATTTAGCCACAGGAGACTCTGTGGCTTTTCCAGCCTCCACCTCTGGAGTGACAGGGTATGAAGTGCTGAACACTGAACCCAGGACTTCAAGCAGAGTGGGCACCCTACCAACGGAACTACCCTGAGCCTAAACTTCCTTTAGACTCAGATCTGTTTTCCTGAAACTTTAGTTGTATCATTTCAGTTCCTTTACCTCCGGCAGTGAGCACATTGAGAACCTTTTCTGTGCTAATATACATTCAGTACTGCATTCCAATCTAAAAGACTTCTACCACCACCAAAGTGCTTCTTTCCCAACTGCTAAGGCCCTCCATGCCATAACAAACGTCTCAAGATCCCATCTAATCTCATAATTCTACTACACTAATTACATATACTGTGTGCCAAGAAATGCTGCAGCTATCAGCTTTCAAATGCCTATAACAGTTTTTTAAAGTATGAACTATGATTCTACCTTACAGGGTTTATTATGGGATACTCAGCTATGTGTGCTTATAATTTATAATAATATGGGATTTTAAGAATGGCATTTGTGAAATGTAAGATTACTATTGTTAATGGCACCTTGTCCTACTAACAAGCATGGCTTAAGGAGGGCTGAGTTGGGTTTCCCTGTTTGAGTAGGAAGCTTGATTTGCATGGCAAAGGTTATCCCACCTCCCAGTTTCTTGGTTTTAAGGGTATTAAAATGCATTAACTGCCTCTGTGTTGTATGTCTCCACCAGCAGGGTTTGAGATCTTTCTAGAACCCTTGTTTGCTGTACCTACTGGTAAAATGGGTATCTTACCTCTTCTCTGGTCTCTTCAGGCCTAAGAAGGTGGCTGTCGTCCAGCCCCTTCATCCCACCCTCACCAAAGCTACTTCACTACCTCCAGTTCTAACCCAGTAAGTATTGTGCTCACATGCTTAGACACACTTGAGTTTTAAAAGGTAACCTTCCGATTATCTTCCCAGCAGAGTGCAGACACAGCTGCAGGCCCCGCCTATGTAAATTCTTCTGTATCCATCTCTGTTGTTAGTGCTGGGTGCAGGGAACACAAACCTCAGCCATTCACATAGCTTTGAATCTCTGCTGAAGAACTGTGGAATCCCCAACTTTGAGATTCCTCTTGGGGGTTTTAAAGCTCTTACAGATCCAAAGGGAAGGGCAGTGGAGAGAAGAGTCTTGCCTTTGGGCCCCGCCCAGGCTAATGGCTGAGAATGCCAATCACACACAGCTGGGGAAGGCTCTCAATCTGCCCAGTGCTGAGGTTGGCTTCTCCGCAGGAGCTTGCTGGGACATCTGGGAAAGGTAAAGCTGACATCACCCCCTCCTTGCCTATGTCAGGTAGTGAGACCCAAGGAGACCAGTGTCAATCTCCCAAAATCAGATAGAGAGACTTCTGGCTGTGCTGTTTGGACTTCGGTCAAAGGGATTCCAACCAGAGCAGCAGGTTGAAAAGGAAAATTGCTCCTCTCTTCCACTCAGGCTCGCAGCTTCTTGCACGGGGCAGATCGTCTAGTTCCTTGTGCCCATGTGACTGCATTCTGGTTGCATTTATGATGACTAAGATGGAATTACAAATACTTCACTATTACTTCCAGTCCCCAGCCAGATGTGTGTCTGCTCCACTAAGCAAACACTTAAGCCTAAGAGTCTCATTACCTTTCCCTCCCTAAGTGGTCTATGAAAGACAGGAAGTGAGTGTGGAGGGATGGCACTGCTCACCCTGGAAATTCAGAGAAGCATCTATTACCTAGGCACAGGGTGAAGTCCTGGGGGTGAGAATTCAGAACTAAGAATCCCTACAATGCAGTCACCTGGGGAAAACAACAACAACACAAAACAAACCCAGAGCCCTGGTTCTAGAAACTCCACTAGTTTCTTTAAAACTCTGAAGAAATACATGCTCTGGCTCCATTTCATGTCTAGAGTGAGATACCCCAACAGTCAGTCCGAAAAGCATTCATTTGACTAGCTAGTTTAAAAGCAATTAAAGTTTAAATGAGATGTTTTCATGTGGGTTTGTTTGTTTTTTGTTAAGTATAATCATCTACAAATAGGTTTCCCAATAAAGTATACTCATGTCCCAGCTCAAAACAAAATGGCTTTGAAAAAAGATCAGGAGCAATTTACTGGTGATAACACACACAGGAGACAAGTTGGCTGCGACTTTCACAAGGATGGCAAGGGTTTAATGAACTTAGGATGGTGGCTTCATCAACTAGAGTGTATTTACAGCTACAGCTCTCCAAGTGCAGGCACTGCCGTGGGTGTGCGGCATGCTACAACAGACGCGCTCTCAGCTCATCCCGAAAACACCGTCAAAATCAATTTCAGTTGCAAATTCACAGATACAAGCTTCAAGGTATAAAGTTGTATATAACAAAAAATACAGATAATATTTATAACAATAACTTACAGGTACAAACTAATGATAAACTACAGTTTCACAAAGGATTGTAAACATTTTGCACATTATCAGTCCAGTCTTTTAGGCAAAGTGCTCTTCTGATGACAAATAAATTAACAGATACACACTAGAGCCAACTATTTCCAGACAATACAAAAAAATGTTCTGACTTGTTTTCTTCTTGTAAACATAAGTTTTACAAAAAAACAAAATGAAGAATCAATAAAAGTGTCTTGCAGGCCAACTACTGATACATACCTGGGCAGCGAAAGGATGTTTGAAATGCTTTGGGTGTTAAATAAAAAATTAACATTAATATCTTTTTCAATGGTATTTTATACATAATAAATGACAAGTCTATATCCTCAATCATTTCTATCCCTGAAAAAAGGAAATAGGTATGACTTATTGGCAGCTGGGTCATTGTATAGGGTAACAAGGGCTGGAGTCCAGGAGTTGTTGGTGAGCTACAAAACAGAAAGAGACGTGGGCATCAGTTCTTTAAGGTGGCAAAGTAGTTTCAACAAACAAGGACATCTCAAGGCAAGGTGGCTTTGTCACTGTCTCAGATGTGGGCAGCATCCGTTCTATGTGATATCTGGTGTCATTATAAGCAGTTGTCACTCTACCTCCTCAGCAGGACCACCAGGACCACCGACTCATCTTTAGTAGGAGGAGACACAAGCTTTGGGCACGGTGGTGTGCTCCATCTCTCTCCCGTTCACTGCACCTCACCCTGCATGAGAAAGGTACTGTGTGCTTCTCACAGAGAGAGCGCTCTGTATGCAGATGTTGCCTGTCTTTGTGTTCAGGTGTTGGGGGAGGGGCATGCCCAGGTTCTCCCTAGGAGTACTTAACTGCATTCTCCCTGAACTACAACTCATGGTTCCTCTTCCTAGGCCTTAGTATCCAGGGTACTGGGGTTACAGGTGAGAACCCCCACCCTCAGCTAGCGTCTAAACGTGTTTGTCTCAACTAGTACTGAAGTCTCTCCCAGGAACACACACAGTTCCAACAGCAGCATAACTAAATGGCACAATGGTATTATAAGCTGTCTGTTTGGTTTTTTTAACCAAAACTTAAAATAAAATCTGCTTTCAGTGAAGGCTGTGTTGTTTCAAACCAAACCTCCCTCTGAGAGCAAGTGGGAGAGCCAGACAATGACTGGATCATGCACTGGGAAGCATTTAAAAGATACCCACGTAGTGGGAAGTTTTGAAGTCCAGACTCAGAGAGGAAAGGAGGAAAATGTTCTTGCTAACAAAGATACTAACAAATTTAACACATGAGGAATGTCTGTCTGAAAGGCTGAAATGTTCAACAGCTTGCTTAGAAGTTAAGTCTTTGGCAGGGCAGTGGAAAAACACAAACCAAACAAACACAGGCCCTCATTTAGGATTCCAAAGTCAAGGAAAAGCGAAACAGAATTAGACTAGCCTCCTAAGCACTGTCGGGGGCTTCAGGTGATTTCCTGTAGCCCAATTTTGTGCCACAGGAAACTATAGTTGTCTCTGATGAGAGATACCATCCAGAACCTCAAATGATTTTTTTCTTACCCAAAACTGAAATGAAGTGGGTTTGGGGTTTTTTTGGGGGTGGGGATGGCAAATAAGATCTGACTTGACTAAAGATAGAGGAAAGACATCAGAGAAGATACAGAGAAGACCCAGATGCTGGAGCCATCAAACGTGAGCTTCAGTGTGAGCATGGGTAACCCAACATTTCAAGTTAGGAATAAAGTGCCAAGTGGATGGATATCAACACAGAGGTGAGAGTCCTTAGCTGAATGTCAGCAACTGAGTAAGACGTTAATGGATGAGTTTTACACTCATATATACAGAGATTTTCGTGACCTAGAAGATGAATTGGAAGAAAATATACTAAAAATGGAAGGCCAAAAAGTTGAAATGTAAGAAATCTTCATCACATAATTTTTTGTGACAGGGTCTCACTATGTAACTTTGGCTGGCCCAGAACACTCTATGTAGATCAGGGTAGCCTCAAACTCAGAGATCCACCTGCCTCTACCTCTTCCTTAAAGGTGGGATTAAGACCTTTGCCATCACAACCAGCTAAATTTTTAAAGGCCACTGAGAGGCCCTCTTAATGCAAGACATCAAACAACTTAGTAAAGTCTCTAACTAGAAGATACTTTCAACACATGCAGTTATTGAAAAGCCTTTGTGCTTAGATTATAATCAAGAAATAAATTAGTTTTGAAAAGAGAAACCTTCAGGCCGGCCCATAGCTAAATACATACAGAGGATCTTCGCGAGATAAACAGATGTCCGAAGGGGAGGGCGTCTTGTCAGTCACGGGCAAATGCTGATAAACATACTGAGATGGCACTGCACTGTCCCCAGACTGGTCAGGATGAAGGAGGGAGAGTGTGCCCAGTGCTGGCGGTGACAGGAGCACCTTTGAGAGGTTTGAGCACAGTGTGAAGCCGTCGGGCAGAACATCACATAGAGCCCACGTACATATCAAACAGGAGTGTGAATTAAAGGTACCAGAGGATGTACGCAAGAGAACCCACAGCAGCATGTCCTAAAATACTCAAACTGGAACACAAAAAGCTATCAAATATAAAACTGATGTGAGTGGAATTCTGTACAATAAGTCAGCAACACGGATGACTTTCACACTCCATGAAAGTGGGAGAGAGAGATACAAGATCACACTGTCTGGTTCCGTTCACATGAAGCCACAAGATTGCTCAGCAGGAAAGAGCAGTTGCTTGACAACCTGAGTTCGATCCTCAGGGATAAAAGGAGTTAACTGATTCCTCCAAGTTGTCCTCTGACCTCTACATGTGTGTCATCGCACACATGCACCCCCCACACACAAATATATATGCAAAAAAGTTTTAAAAAGAAAAATTAAGACATGGCTTTTGAACTCAGGGTAAACTCTGGCAGAAGAAAATAACCTGGAGGTGTTGCCATGGTAATCCTGCTCAGGACGAGAGGAACTACAGGTTCAGACATTTGGTGTATGTGCTTGGCTGAGGAGCCAATGGGGCACGAACCCACGACCCTGGGATTAAGAGTCCCATGAAGAGAATTCTGGGAACAGGAAGGCTGAGTCAGGAGATGCTGCCAGCCACCGCCATGAGTACCAACATGTAAGATACTGGAAAGCCACGAGTCATGTGTCAAGGTATAGATTTATAGAAATGGGTTAATTTAAGATGTAAGAACTAGATAACAAGAAGCCTGCCAGGGCCATACAGTTTATAAGTAATATAAGTCTCTGTGTATTTACTTGGGGGACGCCAATGGAAGAGATTTGTCCCAACTGCCGGCAGGCTGGGACACAGGAAAACTCCAGCTACATGGAGGGGGTGCATGCAGTTTCTGGAGGCTAACACTGCTACTCTCCTTCACCCAGGTGCCGTTTATAGAAGATGCTGGCAAGTCATCAAGCCCAGCACCTGTGTGTGCTTTCTATATGTATGACTTACTTCAATAAAAAAGTATAAAAACAAAAACCTCCAGTGCAGAGATGTAAGTGTCAACACCTTCTCTGACCATAGAAACGTAAAATATTTAAGTATATATCCAGTAGAAAACAGAACAAAGGGGCTGAAAGGTGGCTCAGCAGTTAAAAACACGGGCTGCTCTTCCAGAGGACAAAAGTTTGATTCCCAGCACCCACACGGTGGTTCACAATCACCTGTAACTCTAGTTCCAGGAGATCTGATACCCTCTTCTGGCCTCTGAGGTTAATTCATGCATGTGGTACATAGACATATATGCAGACAATAACCATACATATAAAATAAAAACAAAGGAAAATTAAAGGAAAGGAAGAAAAGAAACAAACAAAAAATGCTGCCAGTAAAGACCAAGCACTGAGCCACAGTGGTATTGGCAGCTCAGCCACAGAGCAGAGCGTCACACTAAGAGCTGGATAACTTTGCTGTCCGCTGCACCCTCTAATGTTTCTCAGCCATCACTGAGGTAATCCTTCAAAAATGCGAACACAATCCGCCATCTCATCTTAGACGTTACCAGCTGCTGGCTGCTGCGCTACCTACCATCCATGTAAGTATGCAGCGCGGTCAGCATCGTCCCATCCTGGGGCACGTAGGCAGAGTAAGCCATTTCTTCCAACATGGGTGGAGACAGCCTGGATGGGGCGACCGCCGTGACAGGAGCAGAGGAGGAGTGATTCGGACTGACATGTTTCTTGTGGCGGGCTCTGCAGTTCTGAAACCATACCTGATAGGGAGAAGAGGGAGGCAGTAAGGTCACATACCAGCTTCGGATCAGCGGCCCAAGTCATTGCCACACATCCCCAGAAGGAAACCTTCTAAAAGTCTGCAGACAGAGCTGGGAGGCGGTTCCAAGGCCTTGGTTCCCACTCCTACACCACAGAAACCAGGTGCAGTGGTGCATTCCTGTAATCCTGGCACTTGGGAGGAGGCCACAGGCAGGTCCTACATTCAAGGTCATTTTTTGATGCATGGCAAGCTAGGGGCCAGCCTGGGCTATACAAAGTCCTGCCTCTTTGGCTATATCAAGCTAGGGGCCAGCCTGGGCTATATAAGATCTTGCCTCAAAACATTTTAAAATGTCCACTGACTGGAGAAACATTTTAGCTCAAGTATTATAACAATAGTCTTTTTTTTTTTTTTTCTCAGCTAATAGTCTCTGGTAGTTTACTTAAAGGTCTATTCTATGCTAAAAAAAAAAAAAAAGGCATTTAAAAAAAAAAAACGAGTAAAGCCTTGAGAATTCTGGGAAAGTGTCTCCAGTTTTGCTATTGGCATTTGGAAAAAGCAGAAAACAGGAAAGTTCTTTTAATCAGAACTTAAAAAGAAAGTACTGTTGTATTCTTAGACACCTGCTGGAAGCATTTCAAATCCTTGTTCACATTATTAAAATCCCTACTGGGAACTCACAGCTTTCTACAAGATTCTTGATTGAGTCATCCCAGCCGCATTTAACCTGCTGAGTTCACTCTCTCAGTGAATACATGGACTACTCCGTTAGAAGCAGGTTAAGGTCAACTCTATAATAAGAACAAAGTAGCCATAGTTGAGCAGAATGAACTACAAACACATCCAACTGGTAAGACCTCACAAAAAGCAAAGTGCCGACCACTGCACTATCCACTCTATGAAGTGATTCCAGAAGGATGAGGCTTAAATCCAGATCTAGAAACATGAGGCCTGACTGCCAGAGCATGTCCAGAAGCGAATCTGCATGTGAGTGGACTCTGTCATGAAAGGCAGCTTCAACATACAGTGTTACTCTATTAAAGTATGCTATCACAGGCTAAGGTATAGCTTGATTGCAGAATGCTTGCCTAACAGGTGCATGGCCCTGGGCACAATCTCTCTCTCTCTCTCTCTCTCTCTCTCTCTCTCTCTCTCTCTCTCTCTCTCTCTCTCTCTCTCTCTCTCTCTCTCTCTCTCACACACACACACACACACACACACACACACTCTTGATCACCTTCATTCCAAACAAATTGTGTCACAGGAGAAATGATAAAGAAAGAGCTAAAAAACTTCAAGGAGATTAGAATAAGCATTTTGGCATCTGGGAGGGGCAGGCCAGGGTAAGGTCAGGAGTGTTATCCGTGTCCAGGGCTACCGTGTAGGAGTTTCATGGCCTGAGATAAGAGAAAGAAAGTGCAAAGAACTTAAAGGGGGAAAAATGTTGGCCTGATTCAAAGACATATCCTGCGCCTTGGCCAGCCATTGCTGCAAACCAAGGGAGCCAAATGTATCGGTCTCATAGGTGTTCAGCCTGAGCAGGTAACTGGAGAAGGCACAGGGAATGTTCCTAGGTGGAGACCTGGGTACACACCAAGGAAAAGCAGGGTGCAGTCACAGCCTCTTCACTCATTCTCTGGAGACCACTCCCAAAGTCTCCAGTCCCAGGTCCATCCACAGGCTCTGTAACAGCACATACCACCACTCAGAGGAGAAGACACAACATTCCCCACTGTTGAGGGGGGTCACCTGCCATTACATCAAAAACATCTAACATTCAATCCACATATATTAAAAGTTCCAATCTGAAAATAAAATCTAAGCGCTAATGCTGGAGCGCAATCTGACTTGCACATGGTGACCTAATAAATGCCTGGAAACAGCCTGGCAGATGTCTCTCTTGGGTCCTTACTCCTCCAGTAATAAGAACCGCTCTGGGAAGACCACGCCGTCTCCTTTACTAGACTCACAACAGTCACCCATCCGAGCTTCTTGCTTCCACTCCGCAATAAATAAAGTCTGAAATTAGGAGGACTCCTCCAGGCCATGGAGTGTGAACTAGCCACAAGAGAACTTCACTGCCTTCAGCAGCATCAACACCACACCTGCAGCCTGTCGTGAGGACAGTTCATGATGGATGAAACCACTTCTTTTCAGCCACCCCTCACAGGGTAGCCATGCAGATATGTGAAGATGCTGACCCTGTATAGACTCCCTCCTTGTCCTGTCCTCCTTTTCAGCCACCCCTCACAGGGTAGCTATGCAGATATGTGAAGATGCTGACCCTGTATAGACTCCCTCCTTGTCCTGTCCTCCTTTTCAGCCACCCCTCACAGGGTAGCTATGCAGATATGAGAAGATGCTGACCCTGTATAGACTCCCTCCTTGTCCTGTTCTCCTTTTCAGCCACCCCTCCACAGGGTAGCTATGCAGATATGTGAAGATGCTGACCCTGTATAGACTCCCTCCTTGTCCTGTTCTCCTTTTCAGCCACCCCTCCACAGGGTAGCTATGCAGGTATGTGAAGATGCTGACCCTGTATAGACTCCCTCCTTGTCCTGTCCTCCTTTTCAGCCACCCCTCCACAGGGTAGCTATGCAGGTATGTGAAGATGCTGACCCTGTATAGACTCCCTCCTTGTCCTGTTCTCCTTTTCAGCCACCCCTCCACAGGGTAGCTATGCAGGTATGTGAAGATGCTGACCCTGTATAGACTCCCTCCTTGTCCTGTCCTCCTTTTCAGCCACCCCTCACAGGGTAGCTATGCAGGTATGAGAAGATGCTGACCCTGTATAGACTCCCTCCTTGTCCTGTCCTCCTTTTCAGCCACCCCTCACAGGGTAGCTATGCAGGTATGAGAAGATGCTGACCCTGTATAGACTCCCTCCTTGTCCTGTCCTCCTCACATCCTCACATTCATATTGCCTTTAATACCACAAGACTTCTAGATCTTCTCAGCACTCCTTCTGGACTGAGCCCTTGTTAGTTCCTTTGTAAAATGTAAAGGTAGTGCTCTGAACATGTGAGCAGTGCCCAAGACATGGGGCCTGCCTCCTAAGGGAGCCTCAACACACTGCAGTCACCAGGAGCCGCTTTAGAGAAGCTGCCTTGAACTCAGGTCCCAAAGGCAAAGTTTACTAGTTTATCGGAAACACTTCCTGCTTCCCGGAAAATTAGCACCTAAAGGTCAACTACATGAAACAGAACATGTGTACCAAAAAGGAATTCATGACCCCAGGCCAAACTGTTTTTTGCTGGTTATGATTAATGCCGTTGATTAAAAAAAAAAAAAAAAAAAAAGCCTCAACAATTCTTTTAAATGATGTTCCATGTCCCTAGCTTCTCTCTACCACTGTGGCTCAGGTTTTTGATGTCATCCTTCTTCAGATCCTCTGCTACTTCACCAGTATCCCTCACTCAGGGCAGTGCTCCCTCCATTCAGAGAGCCTCTGTGACCCCGTCCTCTCTCTCAGGCCCCTCCTCCGCTCCTTATTCTCACTCAGAGTTTGTAAAGGATTGACTCAGTTTCAAGGGACTGACCCTGTGGTTTGAGTCCTGTTCATCCCTTCAAATGCTGTTCACAGAGCTGTTCATGAGCTTTCTTTTGACTCCTGTGTTCCTGACCCAGCACCCTTCCCAGGAGAACTCCGACTTCTAATTCAGCAATGGTCTTCCTTTTGCTTCTCTGCTGCAGTCTCCAGGCTGCTTTCCTGACTTGCTAGTAGCCAGTATCTGCCATCATTATGCAATTAGTAAAAGTGTTTCTAGAATTTAGTTATAGGTCTACGCTGCAGTCAAGTCTCTTAAAAACAAAAACCTCCCTAGTTTCCTGGCCACCAGAACCAAAACCCTGGCTCTACTTCTTCCCACATTTTGTCAACTTGTTCTTTCTTTCCCAAATCAGATGTCATGGCTTCCTCTTTACAAAAGGGGCAATTCCAACAATTTCCCAGAATTTCCATACATGAATTCTACAGTATGTATGTTTGGCTATACCTCACTCTTCCCTAGCATGGTCATGTCACTTCTCCTAGATCTTTACTAAAGACCACGATCAGACTATGGGGGTTGGGCAGAAAGAGGGTGGACGAGGGGAAGGGAGGGGAAAGAAGGGGAGAGGAGGGGAGGGGAGAGCTCAGAACCAGATTTGGCTTGGAACTGCAGTATTTCTCAGCCCAAGGATCTCAGAGCTATCTGAATAAAGATGCACAGAGTAATTGACACACGGTAGTCTAGTCCAGGAAAGCCAATGTCAGGCTGTTGTTTAACAGTTTCCTCTGGGATTGAAACATTCCATCCTACGGGGAAGCTCCTTAAGCAGGAAAGTCAACAACTCAAAGGAGCTTCAGGAAGTCCCTGAAACTGACCAGATTCACTAGGCCCCTCCCTGCCAGAGTAAACTATAAAAGCTGAGCATACTACACAGACCAGCCTAGCTGCCAGGAAGAAGCAGAAACACGCCAGCTGAGCTGCTGAAAGAGGGTAAGGCCAACTGAGGCACCTGGAAAGGTCACTCTTCAATCTCCTGAGCTGTTTGCAGGCTGCACAGTGTGCAGGTTCCCAGCCTTTGTGACCTGTCCCCCATCCTGGGGTGAGCCTTGGTGATGCAGCTCTGCTAGAGTCATCTCTGCTCCTGTGAGTAACCCCTCACCCATATTCCTGTGAGTGACCATAAAGCTCACTGCTTCACCAAGTCGGACTTGGTGCTTTCCATACTTTAGTCTGTGGTGAGTAGACAGTGCTGCGTCTTTCCAGGAAAACTGTGTCACGCAAGCTTTTAAGAAATAGGCTCAGAGTGGAAGAGACCTAAAGTAGGAGCTCACCGAAGGTCGGCATACATCCGCAAAGAGTCAGATGCAGACCCTTCTGCATCTCGATTGACGCACACGATCCTCACCTGTATGACACGCCGGCTTAAGCCCGTCCGCTCTGCCAGTTTCTGGAGGGTCTGTGCGTCTGGGTTGTTGTCCTGAGCAAACTGTGCTTGCATAACCTGTGGTTGATTTTAAAACAAGTGTTGGGAGCAAACAGTTAGCAGCTTGGTCTTTTAATTTTGTGGCGGGACAGATAAGACACACGATGAAAATGTGATGTCTATTTTACAATGAAAGAAAGGCTCACTTTATAAAGTCACACAAACTCTGAGGTTTTTAAAAACTGCCCCACTGCTGGATGGAATGCTGCCTCTCAACTGTGTCATTAGAGAGGTTCCCTTTCTCTTTCCAGGCTCGGAACTCACAAATAAAATATACAGACCGAGTCTCCTTCACTTGGCTTCTCATTTTGTTAAGTGTTCCTGCACTGGAAACTCAAAATACACAAATCACACCACATCTATCGCTGGCCTCTGTAGGTGCACGGTTTTCACTGATGCTCTGCGGCGGACATGCACCACACAGCTGCTGAGATGCCACTGGGGTGTGTGGAGGGGCTTTGCTCCCTATGAAGCAACTTCTGAGATCTTACAAGGAGACACATTCATTAGTCCACGCAACAAGACCTTAGCAGAGTCCAGAGATTGAACTGTGACATTCGGGACTGACACCACTATGCCAAGGGCTATGACATGTATATATTCACATATGGCACCAGGAGGGGGCGCTAATCTTAAGTTCCTAGAAGAAAAATATAGAAATGCCAATAACTGCCTCTAATCAAAGGTAAATGGAGTCAGAAAATGAAAGCCACAGTCAAGGCCTTTGGCTTCTTGGAAGGGGGAATCATGAGAAAAAAGTAATATGTTTGAATTTTATTACTCAAAGTCAATCAGCTGAGGAGAATATGCAATAAAGATAATTAATAAAGAATAACAGCGTTTAGTAGGCTGTGCTTGTCTGTGGGCAAAGGAAGTGAGCACCCTCTGCCCCACCTGCTGCCCCCCTCCCTCCAGGCAGGCAGACTGCAGCCTCATCCCCCTCTGCATCTGCACTTGCCAGAAGGTAGCCCAACAGGTTCCTTTGAAAAAGTGGGAGCTCCCAGAGGACTATGGGAAAGAATCCTGCATTATGCTCCCCCCTCCCAGGGGGAGGGGAGATACTACAGTCTCCACCTGCCACACTGTGCACTTTGGAGTTGGTGACAGAACCTTGACAATATGAGGAAAATCTCAAGAGATGGAGAAAAGTCCAGCGTGGGTCCAGAAACATCTCAAGGGTACACATGATGATCCTTTTAAGATGCCTTGGCTACCAGGGTCAAATGTTCCTAGTGTCCCATCCAGTGTTGTACCAGTATATTCATTGTAAAAGGAACAGACTTTTTCTTATTTAAAAAAGTGGCAAAATGGACTAAGCACCTGTCGTCTCCATCCCTTCCTTTTTTCCCTTCCTTATCAGAGGGAATGCTTTTCTCTCAAGCTGTGCTTGTGCAGGGGTGACTTAAGTGTAACATCCAAAGACAAAACAGCAGAGAATTGATCATATCTTTAATTTCTCACAAAGACCAAGCTGAACTGATACTTGGGAATTTGCTTCTAAGGTCATTCTTGATCTGGTTTAAAAAGGAACAAAAGCCCTCTAGAAATAAAAGTTTTAATAATAGAACCAATGTACATTTAGCAAAGACAGCTCATCAAGGAACGGAACGGAACTTTACCTCGGCCAATTAGAACTAGAATATTCTAAAGAAAGTGGTGCCCTCATAGTTCTTCCTTTAGTTAGTGCCAGTTTTCAGTCGCACACAAAAAGGGGAAAAAGAAGGAAGAAAAGACACGCTGGATTTCTTAGTCTCCCTGTTCTGCAGATGTTGAAGCTGCTAAAGGCCACTCCCAATCCTGGGAGCTCTTCAGGATGATCATTGGAAGCCCTGCATCAGCAGCATTTTTACACCAAGGGGTCTACCAGAAAAGTCAGGAGTATGAGTGCCCTTCTTATCAATGGGGCCACGTTTGAGAGGGTATGCAGACATACCTTCAATTGGAAACTTTTCTTTCTGCAAGATTCTGAAATAGAATTTTAGGAATTTACTTAGTTGCCCTGCTTTAACGCTCCTCCATCCAAAGCAAGCACCACATGGGCAGTCTCAACTCAGTATTCACATGTGATTTTTTATTATTTTATTTAAATCAGTATTTAAATACATTCACAATTTTCTCAAAAATGGGACAGTTTGACAAGGTGAATATAGTACTTGGTTTATCAGATAATCTGGTGAAAGTAAATGATTCGGGTTTTTTTTTTTTTCCTCTTTTAAATCTGTGGCTATCCCAGCTTTCTTGTTCTTTGGAACAACTAAGTATTTATCTCATTTATTTTGAACATCTTGTGTACAGGATCAATGCTACTGAATGCTGAATAAACGAGACCATGCTTTTCAGAACCCAACTCTGATGATTTTTTTTTTAGCTTATGATTCAGGTCACATTCTTATGTAGTAATGCATAGTTTAAGTATTTTGCAAGTTTAACTATAAGCCTGTCTGCAAGATTCAGGATTTATCCTCTCTGTCTTGCTGGGTTCTGCTGAAGAACATGGGCTCCTGGGAGGCAAAACCACATGAAAAGCACAGAGGTTGGGCAGGTCTGTCTGAGCCTCTCCTCTGTCATTCCCTAAGCAGTGGGTCACCTTGCGGGCAGTTCCTGTGTCTGCCCCCTGACCCCCAGGAGGCAGACTACACTGAGAACTGTGGCAGTAGCTGAGGAGTTGAAAATGATGGGAACATGAAGTCCAGCACAGCACTTGGCCTGCAAAAACCCCAACGAATATCCCATCTTATTTTTTTTTCCTGTAATTATCTTCTCACCAGAGATTGTACAGCTATCTGCCATGACTTTGAAGTTCCACAGTTATAATTTTTGTAGGGAATTTTCACATCCAAGTTATGAAGCCTATAATCGTCAAAGTCACAGCCAACTCCTTATGGAACAGACCACTTTCAAACCTGATACGTGTCTATTAGAGATTTTGTCTAATCCAGCCTTCCTGCTCAAACTGGGTGCTTTTGCAAAGCTTAGACAAGAATTCACATCAGCCGAAGCCGTGTGTGACTTTCTCCAGCACCCCAGGGCGCATCCGAGCAACAAGGCTTGATCATGGACTTCATGTCTAATAAACAGCAAGCAATTGTGTACTTGGAGGTTTTTTCTTAATGGATCTAGATTTTAATACTCAGCATTTGGTCCATTTGCCAAATTCTTTTGGGATGCTGGCCATGTCCAGGTTACCCCTCATCATTCTGTTTTTACTGTAGAGGTCTAAAGCACTGGCCAGGCTCTGACTGCTGGAAGTGGTTTCTCTTTCACTTGCTAATGAGACATGATTGCCTTCTGTACTGAGCTGAAGCGGGTACTCTTTGCAACACACCAGCAACCCATGGAAGAGGTGCAGTAATGTTATTCGTCTTAAAACAAATACCTCAGCCACACTGATCGTTTAGAAAATATGATTATCTGGAAAAATTCCAGAAAGAATCATCATATGTAGACTTAAATATAAATCAAGGAACATTCTCTTGACAGTTTGCACAAATGAGACAATCCTCGCATCCTAGACAACTGTGATAGCGAAGCCCGTCTGTTTTCAAGGGGCAGAGTCAACCTCAGCAGGACGGTGGAGTCACTACCTCTACCCCTTTACCATGGGCGTCAACCATTAGATTCCCGTCTCAGTGTCTCAGTGACGCATTTCTGTTCCTCCCTGTACGGAATCCCTGTGGTTTAAACACCTCACATGATTGACTTAAATGACAACACAGCACTGAGTGCTGAGTCTCCACACAGTCATCTTCTGTTGTCATTACATGTAAAATGTCTGCCTTAGACTGATGCTGTGTCCTAATTTGATGTCAATACCAAAAGACCCTAAGGACACGAAGCTACCATGACTGGACTCTGCAGACCATGACATTTCAGGGCAATAAGTATGCACTGATATTCTCATCAAGTTAGATCTTTTAAAAAGTATAGGACCTTTATTAAACAATATTCTCAGGCAGCATGGAGATCGTATTTAATTTGCTTCAAGTCTGTTTTCTTTTTTTGGGGGGGAGAGAGTTTCAGAAATTGCAAATGTATTGCCATGTCTACCTGGAGCTGATCGGCTGTGAAGCTGGTCCGAGCTCTTTTGGCTGGCTTTGGATGATTGACATCTTGTTCTGTGAGCAGGGCTCCTTCCACACTAATTCCATTACCTGCGTTTTAAAAAACAAACCACCCAGTTGATAAGTCAGATGGGTCCACACTAGTGCAGAGTCGTAGTCTCCTCACACGCTTTCGCATCTTCCGAGTTTGTACAGTGTTAAAATCATGTTGCCAATAGAGCGTAAGAGACAGTATTTACAGCCTTGTGCACTGTGCCGGAAATGCAGTCAAGGCATACATCTAAGGCCCGTGTGAGGAAGGCGGCTGCCACGGAGTACAGTGTGGGACTCGGAGTCCACCCTTTGCCCGCAGAGCAACAGGTGGAACCCTTTCCTGGCAACTCTGCTGACTTCATAGCCTTTACCTCTTGTATAAAATACGACATGAGAAGGACCTTGGGGTGGAATCAATTTTTATCTCTTCATTCAAGGTCCTCAAAGACTCAAAGGTGTTCTGAGCCCTACTTACCATTCTCCACTTCTCTTTTTAAATTATCCAGCATGCAGTCGAAATGCATTCTGCAGAGGACTTTCTCTTCCACCAAGGCAAACTCCTCCCCAGTTGACAGCTGCCTCTTGCAAGAAAAGCAGGCAAAGCAGGCCAAGTGATAGACATTGCCCTTGGCCCTGCGCACCCAGTCCGTGGAGTGGATGTGCCTGCCACAGCGAGAGCACCGTGTCCCATAACGTCTGCAGGACACAGGGAGGAGGCGTGGTGAGGTGTGTATCAGGCAACTCCAGACTAACACATCATCGTGCTCTTTGCAATGATTTAAGTATTGTGAAAGTGAAACAGAAATTAATTTTTTTCTCAGTATGGGAAGCAGTTGAGACAGGGTCACAATTCAAATCTGCTTTAAAAACAAAACCGCCTCAATTGGTAATGGCGAGGAAGATTAGTTTTCAAATACATGAAATAGGAGTTTCAACAGCCCTTTTATTGTGTCACATCTTAAGGCATTTATAGGTCGTGTAGAGATTCCAGATACACGTGCACAGTTACACATGCACACGCCAGGCTGAAAACCTCAAAGGGCAAAACTACACTAACCAAACATCGAAACATTGATCGGCTAAAATCTAGTTGGAGGGATGGGTGCAGCTCACGGCGGAGTATGTACTTGGCGTGCGCACGCGCACACTAGTGCCAGAAACAAACACAAAGCCCAAGTTGCGATGACGAGGAGGAATAACTAATGCTGACATATTTAAATTAGAAAGTATCAGGTAAAGTACAGAGTCTATCTATATTCTTCACCCTGAAGGACAAGGAGAAAAAATGCAGAAGCATTCCAGCAGCGACCAATGGCTACATTGCCAGCCACAGGGGAGTAGAAATAGTGTCTAAAATTTCCAGAAACATCTGTAGGCATTCTCATCAAGACACCAGCGGCAAAGGGAATTTTTCCCCTCCCAGTCTTAGTGATTGGATGCCCTCTTCTGTCTCCCACCACAGTCACTGGTGGACAAGGTTAGCACATCTGCCTGTGTCCACCCAGGGACCCGTCTTTAAGTATTGCCAATTTAATTGGAACACTGGATTCTAAAAATGAATTTCAGAACATATACACAAAAAATCCTTTAAAAAAACAGATTTTAATAAATATTTTCTTAAAAAATCAAAAATTTCAAAGGGTGATTAATATAGTTACTATAAGTTGAAGAGGAACTAACAGTTACTAATGCCCAGGAAATGGCCTAATTCTGGCCAGGCAGCGGTGGTGCACACCTTTAAGCTCAGCAATGGGGAGGCAGAGGCAGGTGGATCTCTGTGAGTTTGAGGCCACCCTGGTCTACAGAGTGAGTTCCAGGACAGCCAGGACTACACAGAGAAACCCTGTCTCGAAAAACCAAGAAAAAAAGAAAAGAAAAGAAAGAAAAAAATGGCATAATTCTGGTGAGAAGTATACATTTTTGGCAATTATCAATCACTTGATTTTATAAGATAGACTCTAATTATGATCATGTGCTATAACCTGTCTATGTATTGTATTCAACTTAATCACTAAACTCTCTGAAATGACTTTTGAAATAGCATCGACGCTGTAATTAGTTGTTACTAATTTTGCTATACAAAATTTTACAATGAACTTTTTCTAATTTAGGAATGCAAATAAAGAGATATGACCACATTTAAAGTAATGCTTACAAGGCTTAGACAACTCTCCACAAAGAAGTACATCCTGGAAGACACCTGACACTTAACACAGCCACGGGGAGATCACAGAGACAATGTGCCACACTTACTGAGCAAGTACGCCTCAGCAGCCAAAGTCAAAGAACAGACCAAAGTAAAGCAAGACCTCTGGGCAGAGTGATTCCATTTGTTGTGTTTATGACAGTTTGTTCTTTTAAATATTGTAGCTGACTATTTTTTCTAAATGCCTGGTATCTTAGAGGTTTATTACCAGGGATCAATTCACCCCTAATGATTTTATTTCACTTCACAACTGACTTCAAACAAGGAGCAATGCTACCATCATGTGTCTCATCCTTTATTGCAGATCCCAAAAGTCTCTGTTTTGAATACCCCAAACTTTCATCCTTAGAATGGGAATATGATCCAAAACAAAGTTTTATTTAGCCAATTCCTAAAGGGAGCAAACACACACTAATTTAGCTTTAATACAAATTATACCCCCCTCCCCAAAAATTTTGAGAAGTTGATTATGGTGCTTAAAGCCTCTAATCTTGTCACTTGAGAGATGACACAGAAGGATCATGAGTTCAAGGCCAGCCTAGGCTACATAGCAAGCTCTGATCTCAAAAAAAAAAAAAAATTGAAATATATCATCATAAATGGCTTTGAGTAATCAAACTATATGCAAAATGTCCTGTTACAAAGGTCTTTTAAAATAACTTCTTGAGGTGTTTATTAAAATGAAAATAGCAATATACCTGAAGTAATCGAGTTTACAGAAAATGTCTTTGTCTTTAATATAACAGCTCGTGTGCCTTCCCAGGGAGGTTCTGCAGACACTGCAGGACAGACAGCGGACGTGCCAACACAAGTCATTCACCTGCAATGGGAAATGAGAATGAGCAGCCGGGTGACACCACCTTCGAACCCCAGTCACCAGTGTGGTGTGGGAGGCAAGAGAAGGCCTTGTAACACATGTTCTGGAGACACCCCACCACCACCACCAACAGCACCATTGACATGAGCATGCATCTGGCTATATTCTCTTCTAGACTCCAACAAGAAACCAGATGCCTATAGATCACATTCAAGTTTGTTTTTTTAGTCCTTTGAAGGTTCAGGTTTTCTTTTGTTCTCTTTCCTCCCTCCTTCACCAAACCTCTATGAACACAGTGAGAGCATTTATTCTGAAGTCATGTGTATGGGTTGTTTTCACTTTGCTCTGATATCTTCCTACGGTGGAACCTGGCAGCTATGGAAGTCAAGATGCAAGCCTCTTCGACCTACTTTTTGGCCAAACAGCTATAAACTGTGTACCATCAATAAGAATGACAAAGACAGAAAATGCTTTGTAAAATATCCTAATAGAGAAAGCAAGCAATCTACTTCCCTTACACACCAGAAGTTGCTAAAGTAGAGCTCAGTGATCCTGTGCCTCATGCCTGCTTCTAAGGGACACACTACAGGGAACAGAGTGCAAAGAGGAGGGTGTTGACAACCCACTGAATGACCTAGCTCCTGGAGAAAGAAAGGTGTCTGGTCATAGGTGGTCCTAAAAGCACCCACTGAACGACCTAGCTCCTGGAGAAAGAAAGGTGTCTAGTCATAGGTGGTTATAAAAGCACCCAGGAAATACATCTGTGTAGTGAGGCAGGACAGTATTTAATAAAGCAGGCACTCTAGACTTTGACATAGGAACAAGGAATGTCATCAGTTCAGGAAACAAATGATCATTGCAGTCACCTGAAGCCGCCGCTGCCCCTCTGCCCCTCTAAGCACTGAACGTCAGCCACCAAATGGAGATATGAATTGGGCTGTGCTGGCCTGCAGGGAGGCTCCTGAAGTGCGCTGATGAGTAGATACAGGGACTAACTAGGTTTATGCTTTGTAACTCCCGGTCTGGGTGTTTGAACTCTGATAGGATGGACATAAAAAAGACACTTTGAAGGAAACCATGGGTTTTCTATTGAGTTATGAGCCTTTTCTCAAAGCAGTGTTTCATTTCTGATAGAAATTTAAATTTGAGGTCTGGGTCTTTCTTCAAAAGAACCATATAATCGCTATATAAAAAAGTTAATTGAATTAAAATGAAGACATCCTGGAAGTAAAGATGTATTTTTCTCACGTTTCCCCTAAGTTGTTCCCAGTTAATATAAAAAGTCCAAGTGAGTATTCCATTGGTAACAGCCTTCAATCACACCCAGGCTTGTGTTTTCTAAAGCAAGGCTTTAAAACAGAGCCCTGGCCTCTCTCTATAATACTCTACAAAAGCCAGACCTCATGTCTGGCTTGACACCTTTCCACAAAGTTTCTTTTGAAAAACAAAAGAAAGCTCCTTAACATTCTTTGCCTTTGCCAGGGAGTAAAGGAGGGTGGGAAAGATTCTGGAAAGGGTTCTGGAACCCTCCTCTAAACTAGTATTCATCCAAGGCTCAACACCAGGCTAGGACCACTCCCGGGTGACAGGAGGGGCCTGGAAGGGGGCCACAGCTTCAGGGAGCTCCTGCTGACCACTCATCTGACTCCAGGTGACCTGCTCCACAGGATGATGTTTTTCCAATAGCCTCAAAAGCTGGATCTGCACTGGGTCAAAATACTTTTTACTAGTGAAAAGTTTAGAGTCAAACCTAGAGTAAAGAGTTAGAGCTTCACCCGGGGGTAAGGATGCTGAGTATTTAGTTTCTAAGTGATGCTGTGGTAGCAAAAGTTAGTTGATTTATAAAAGCTAGTAGACTATGATTGTATGTAGAAAACCTTCCTAGGTAGACTGTCCAGTTACAAAAGGAAACTTTGCATAACCACTTGGCTAGGATTTTTATATCATATGAAGACAAGCATGAGCAATTATAAAATCACACACGATGACTGCTAGACTTCTTCGAGGCAGAACTCGGACTTTACTGTGTAACTATTTCTACATCTTCTCTGCTGTGACATGTTGAAAGTTCTTAAGTCCGGTTCAGAAACACTCAAGATTCTGCCACTTACTGAGAACCTTGTTCAAAACAAGAAGATAATTTTGACTCCGGGAATGGTTTTGTGACATTCATAGTTTTCCAAATAACAAATCAGAAATGGATTTTTTAAGAATGCAGATTTAAAGAGAAAGCCCAGGTTAGTTTGCCAGCTTCAAGAATCAACTAACAATATCTAAAACTGTTTTCACCCAAGCCTCTTTTGGTGCTTTATCTGGGCTCCAGAGTAATATTCCCATTCCACCCAGAACTCAGCTTTTGAATGTTGACATTAGCATAAACCCACTAATTCACTTTTTGAACTTTTACTTTCCATAATTAATCCTTCGGAAAGCTGAAGCATGGGGAGGAGAGGAGAAAGTGAACGGGCTTGCAACTAATTTGGTATAGAGGAAAACATTTTTTCACATAGCCGTTTTTAAAAGCTATTGAAGTTGGAAACCCAATGCATTCATATTAAGACACATGGCATGGATAACTGCAGCCTACCAGAATTCCAACTCCAAAATTCCCCCACAACCCTGTGCACAATATTGTAAAAGAAAAAGTTAAACCGAATTAAGACGGTCAGTCAACTCTGAAACCACCGCGTGAAACATTTCAACCGAGGCTCTCAGTATGCCTGCCTAACTTTACGTCCAGCCGCTCTCCCCCAGCACTGACAGGACATTACACTATTGTGCTTAGCAAGGTCCGGGAGGTACCGAAATGGCTTCTAGAAACTTATAGGAACTTTTGCTTTGGGAAGGTTCCAGGTACCTGTAAATAAACGCAAGACCGCAATGATAACAGTGCAAACAAAAGGTCTTTTAAATCAGTTTACAGTGTTTTTAGTCACAGAAGGAGATTGTGAATCGGTTGACACACCGACCCGGGCTAGTCTGCGAAGACAGCAACACGGGCGTATTGGAGAGGAGGGACCGGTTTGGAGAGTACAGGATATTTAAGGAAGTAGAGGTCTAGGCTTGGTAAACAAAAGCCCTGGCAACTGGCAGCTCTTTCAGGATGGGTGGCGCTTCCCCAAACCCTCCGCACACACCCGGGGAACCCTCCTTACAGCAGCAGACCGCGTCTCCACAGTTTCCCAACCAGACAACCCCGAGTGGCACTTCCCCCTCCCGGTTGTGGGGCCTAGAGCGGACTACTTTGCGGAGAGGGACTTCAGAGTCTCGGCTGACTTGGGGTGGGGCACTTTCCCCTAGAGCCTCACGCTGACTCCCTCTGGGGCTCGCATGCCCCCCCCCCCCCATCCTACCTTGAGGAGGTATTTGTCCACAATCTCCAGGCCGCAGCTACTGCACACACACTTGCCTGGCGGGCAGACGGAGCCCGAGGCCATGGACTGTGGCGACGACGACGGGGAAAGCGGGGCCGAGGAGGAGCAGGAGTCCTCGTCCCCAGCTCCCTCAGGATTCACCTGCAGGAAGAAGGGAGCACTGGCCGCAGACCTCTCCTCCCTTCCACGTCCCACCACCCCACGGGGGCACCCCAAGGGCTGTCCTCTCCCTGAGGTTCCCAGACCTGCGAGACCCCCCGCAGCCCCGCGTCCCGCCCCGCCCAAGGAACCGGGGGACCCCCGCAGGCCGCCGCCGCCCTACTCACCAGTCCTCCGTCCTCCCCGGCGCCTTTGCGGGTCCTCCCGGCCGCCAGGGCTGCAGGCCGCCCGCACTCCTCCGACATGAGCCCCGGGCACTGCGCCGCGAGAGCGGGGAAGGCGGGGAGACACGGGTCAGGAGCCGGCGGCGTGCCCACGGCGCCCCGCAGCCGCGGCCCGCCGAGCTCTTGAAGGCCCCGCACGAGGGCGGCGCGTGCAGCCGCCGCGGGCACCTGAGCCCGGGCGCAGCTGGCGGGCCAGCGCGCAGCCTCCGTGGGCCGCCGCCGCCGCCAGCGGGCGACTGCAGGACTGCGGGGCCGTGGCTCGGGGCCCCGCGCTCACCCCGGCACGCCGGCTCCCCGCCCCCCGCCGGGGGTACCCAGCTAATAACCGGCCTCCGCGCACAAAGCGATTGCTTTCTAGACGTCAATCACCCGGGAGCGGGGAACACCCGGCTAAAGGGGGCGCGGGGCGGGGGGGAGGTGGAGTGAGAGAGAAGAAAAGATGACTGAGGAGGGGGTGGGGAGAAAAAACTTGATTTCTTTAATAACCTCAATTAAAAGAGCAAGACACACACATATATTTTTAAAGGGGGGGCTTTTTGAATAGGATAGCCCGAAAGGTGAAGAGGTTTAATCGGATACTTGAAAGCTAATTACAGTGGGATTTAAGAAGCCTGGTGTTTGTTCCGACGATTTGAATGAAAATGCTTCAGATTAAACGGAGCCAGCAGCTCTTTGGTAAACTTGAAGCAATTAGAACCGTAAGCGATTTACACTGGTTTCTTTAAGGTGTGAATTGCCACTTAGTGCTCAGTAAGTCAACATTTTAGCTACTAAAGGATTATTTTTAACCAGTGCAAAAAGCGGGTAGAATAATGGAAATATCCAGCTGAATTTAATTTGTCCCATTTAAAAAAAAAAAAAAAAAAAAAAAAAAACCACAACCTCACCCGACGCGGGTCAGTACGTTTTAGAGCACACAGGCGCGTCGCTCGAGTGTCCCCACGCACCGGCCGCACTTTCAGTTTTGTTCTACAAACGAACGCAATCTCTCTGAGAAGTCTGGCTTAGGGCTGGTGGGTCCGCGGGTTCCCGCGGCCCACAGCCGCCCCCGCCCCGCGTTCTGTCCCTTTGTCTCCGTTTCCTCTGTCCTCTGAAAACCCAGGTGAGCCAGCGCGCGCGGGTCTCCCCAGCGCAGCCGCCTCCCGGCCGCGTCCTGGCGCACACAAAGCATCCAGGCAGAAACTCTACCCGTCACCTTCCCCGCAAACACAAACCCAGCAGTGGCCCGCGCATCCTGCCGAGGCCCCCGGTCTGGGAACCGGTTCCAGCTTAAAACGCCAGCCACCCACGGGTCTTGCCTCCGGAGAGAGGTGACAGCTTTCTGAGTCCCCGGGTTAGGCTCGCCTCCTGCTGCGAGACTTGCCCCTGGGGTGTCTCCAATGAAATCGTTTTTCTGGCCCTTCCCAAGAGCCGGCGGACTCTGCAGGACCCAAGTCCTCGAGTCTGTCGCCGCGGGTCCCCAGACTCCACACGCGCCCGATCCGAGGCAAGAGCCAGCGCTCAGCGGAGCGCAGCGATTGGTACCTGGTGCCACTCGCAAACGCCTGGACCCCCAGCCCACCGCTGTCCCAGGCCGCCTCGAACAGCGAGTTAAATAGAATAAAAGCAGGACTCACATGGCCCCAGAGCACCTTACGCTCCAGACTTCGTCTCCCAAATTAGAGCGTCCATGCCTCAGGTTAAGTGAGCCCACGGGGAGGGGACGCGGTGATTACTACCTAACGCTACTACGTAATAAAAAAAAATGTCAGGTCTGGAGACGAGGCAGTGACAGGTAGTTTCCGAGCCTCGACTAGGAGCCCAGCAACTCTCTTTTCTCAAGGAAACTGCTATTCAACGGGTCCCGCCGGGCGTCGGCGCGCTCACCTTCTCGCGGGGAACCGCCAGCTCCGGCACGTCCTTTCCCTCCAGTTTACACACAAACATCTGATCGCTCTTCCAATACATGGCCCCGCAGGCGTTGCTTATCACATACCAGCTCCAGAGGGTCAGAGGCTGCGGGTGTCTGCAGTGCCCCCCTCCCCCGCCCCAGAGCGCCAAGGAAAGCTAACACGCAGGGTTGCGAGGCCAGGAGTGCGTCTCGTCCAAAGAGGCCGCAGTGGCCTTAGCCACTCTCGGACCGCTGTTCTTAGATTCCTCTCTCAGCTACACTGAGGTCTGCCCCTCCAGGAAAAGAGGGAAAAAAGTTGTGTTTTCCAGAGGGTGGAACCTCACGGGGAGGAGGGGGTGTGGGGGAAAGTCTTTTCCTGGAGGGACAGCCTCACCTCCTTGCGGAAAAACCCGCCTTCTCTACATGTTAAGATCTTTATCTGCACCAGACAACTTACTTCAAGTTCAGTGTTAAAGGTGGGGGAAATGTGGATGGCCCATTAACTGGATTTTTCTTCTTCTTCCCCCCCCCTTCTTTCTTTTTCTTCTTCTTTTTTTTTTAGAATCTGCTTTCCGCGTCTGACTTGCTTTAAATTCTCGCTCCCCAGCCAAAACCTAAACAAAGATTCGGGTTACATCTCTTTCAGCGGCGCGCGGGAGGGGAAGCAGAGGTCTCCTGGGTTCCCAAGCTTTAGTCCTTCTGAAATGCGCATCGGTGGGTCTATCTCCATTGGCGAAAAGTTTTCCCGTTAAGATAAAGAAGGGGCATCTGAGCGACTAGATTTGATTTGCGACTAGATTTGGAATCAAGGATACAAGGAAGACGAAAGTATGTTACTCACGAATGTTGCTTTTATTTCATTCTAGACAAAAGTCTCTGCCTTAGATGGAGGCGTCCATTGCTGCTGCGCACTCCCGTGCTAGAGTGTGTGCGTGTGCGTACAAGTAGGGGGTAGGAGTAATTTTGCTCTGGATTGGAAGTGTAGGAGCTTTTTTGTTTGTTTGCTTGTTTGTTTTTTAAATGTCTTTGTAAGTTATCACTTCGTTTATAGAAGATAAATTTTGCAAGAAGTTATACTTAAATGACGTTTATTTCCTATTTGTCCTTTTAGATAAACAAAATCGAAACATTTGGAACTTAAGTAATATAAAGACATCTTGGAGTCTTTATTTTTATCAAGACTTGTAACAAAACCATGCTTTGTTACTTCAATTAGACAGAAATATGTGCAGTAAAACACAAGGATAGGAAATCTCACTCCCTTGTCTTACTTGTGCGGAAGATGAAGTGAGACTCTGCCCGGACCTGCGGCCAGCGGAGGGGCGGGCAGTGGACGGGTGGACACACTTTCCCGGATGAACTCAGCCTGGGACCAAGCAAAGACTGCAACTCCGGGTTTCCTTTGATCGCCCCCTTTCCTCCTTAGACACGGGACTTGAACATACACCATCTCTGCTTTCCTTTTCAGAGGTTACTCACACGTTCACACTAGCATTCTCTAGCCGGTCCCCAACAGGAGATCTCCTTTAAATTTAGCATGGAATAAGAGAAGAGGGACCTAAGATTTAGAGTAACCTATATTCTGGTGGCACACTGAAGGATTCGGGTTTGGACTGACTGCCTGAAAAGCTAAACTGTGTGTTTTTTTGTTTTGTTTTTTCGTCAAAAGCAAAACACAGGATTGGGTGAGGGAATCCACATAATAATGTATTTTCCATAAGCTGCTGCTAGGAGATGACCCTCTGGAATGGAAACAGACTGCTGCGGAACGCTGGCTCCAGCAGGCCGCAAGTAGGACCGATCTCCTGGAAGAGGAATTAACTAGAATCTAGCGTGGAGATTTACTTACAGTCCTTCGTGCTAAGGTTTGCAACGTGAATCCGTAGTTGCCTTTGCCTGCTAGCGAGAACGGTCTGCGCGGGTCATCTCGAGAGCCCCGCGCGCCAGAGCTGTTTGGGGGAAGTGGGGAGGGGCGCCGGCGGGTACGCTGCTTTTCCACCCACCCTCGCCTAATCAGGCGGCTCTCAATCAGGTTTTCAACATACTAATCTTGATCTAAGAGCTCCTATCTCTGCATAAGTGGAGGAAATGATTCGTTTTTAGAGGCTTCCGGGCTTAGAGAAGGAGGACGTCGTCAGTCTGCTGCAGAAGATCTAAACGGCTGGTCTGCGTCTGCCTGCTCCTGGCGCCCGGCGCGACCGCGACCTCACCCGCGGCATAATTGCGTGTGTCCAGCGCGCTCCCCGGGCTGTCCCGTGGTAAGTGCGTTTCCCCGGTGGAAAGTGCGTTTCCTGTCCTGGGGACTAAGGCTTTGGCACCGGGTGTGCGATGGAGATGGGCGGAGCGGAAAGCGAAGGTTTTTCACTTGGAAGGTCAAGGCTGAGCTTCCCGTAGGGTCCTGGGCCTAATGACCTTCTGACCCCGCTTACCTAAAACTGTTTTTCCTCTGCTTGCCCGCAGGCGAACTGGGGCTCGTTGCTCCTCGGATCAGGCCAAGAAAAAGTTCGTCTTCTGTTCTTCCCAAGTTAAGTGTTTTAGATACAAGTCACAAAACACTTTTCTTTAAAAAAAAAAAATGAGAATTTTTAGCCATGACTGCAAATGAGACCAGTTTTGAACGAAACACAGTAAAATATATATATGCATATATATTATCTTGCCTGCCGGTAGATGGGAAAATAAATCGGCCGTGCCTTGTTGGTGCCTTCCTATTGGACTGAAATTTGCAGGAACCACCGCTCATCAAATGAAAATCAGAAGCGGAAGGCCCACTTAGGGGGTCTACCAACATCCTTGATCCCGTGGCTCCGTTCACGGAATGAATGGAGTTGGAAAGAGAACCAGAGAGAACTCCAAAGACGTCTGGTCCGGGGATGTGCGGCTCACACTAAATGTGTCCTGCTAAAACCCAAGGTGTGCGGGAAGCGGTCTGGATCCCGTCGTGCCAGGCCTTGGTTCAGGGCTGGAGAAAGAGAGAACCCCAACCTACCCGACCCCCACAGCTTCCACCTCGGCGAAGACCTGCCTAATTGAGCAGTGAGCAGCTGCTAAATGTGCGGTCTACTAATGACCCACCTCCTCGGCGACTCCTATTCAAGGCATAAAACTGATATTTTCACACCCGGATCGCACGGCAGGAGCCGTTTATAAACATCCTGCATCCGTGGAATGAAGAAAAAAAAAAAAAAAGCTGCATTGACAGGGGTCTCTGGAGCTCGGTATTTAAAAGCTATAGATCCGAATTAGAAAATTATTACTTTAAGCAGAGAAAATACCCACCAACTTAACTATTGAACTGCACGTCTGAGCTCCTGGCGCTATCTACGGGTCTGGAGGAACTTATCCTGGAGCTTGCGCGGAAGGCAGGCCATCCACTGGCTCTTGGCTTCTAAAGCTGTCCCCTGGGGGCTGCGGTCCTCCAGAGGGCTGGCGTGGGCTATCCTGGGTCACATCTACAAAGACACAACTAGGACCTGGGGAGAAAGCCTAGGCGAAGTAGCCACAGTGGCCTGAGCTTGTGGGTGCTTCGCTTTCTCCAACCCAAGAACCGCGCCAGGGCGCAGTCGGCCCAAGGACTGTCCGCTGAGGTAGGGGAATGTGTGACCTTGGCTCCCGAGAAGGAACTGCCAGTGTCCCTAAAGTGAATGCTCAGCTATGATCGCCACCAAACTGCATGTGTGACACGTGGCTGTTGACTGTGTCTTTGATTGTTGCCCACCTCGTTTATCGTGGATAGGAGTCTGGAAAGTGTTTGAAGAAGGAAGAATGTCCAGAGGTACTTTCTGCTAAAAGCGTGCCTCTGGGATCCTGTGTCCCCATTCAGTGGCACAGAGCAGGAAACCTGCTCACCTTTGGGACTCACTGAGCCCAGACTCTTAGACTTCGTTACCCACAGCGCCAGGGAACAGCAGAGGCGCGACTATTCTCGAAAGTGAAGGTCACCAAGATGATATCTGCCGGGGTCTGAGATCTACTGCTAGCTGAGGCTGAGCCTGGGGAGTGGGGGAGGGGGACTTTCTTGATTGACTGCACCAGGGACACTCGGGACACCCTGGTGTGCAGACCAGTGCTCCTCCCCTTGGCCCTGAGCGACACCTCCAGGTCTCAAGGAAGACAAACTCTGGAGATACACGGAGGGAGAGCTAGGTTCTGATTAACCAGAGCCTGCACGCGTGCACTAGTTCTTGGTAGAGTATCAGGAAACCCGGGCCACTTACCGGACAGAGAAATGAAGCGAGAAAATAACTCCGGGCCACGAGGAACCCGAAATTAGGGGAGGGGCGGCCTGGAAGACTCCTGGGTTAAACGTTAGCACGCAATTCCATTAACACATTGTGACATTCACAAGCCCACAGTCTCGCTTTAAGCACGCCTGTGGTTTGGAGTCGCGGTGTTCTGTGCCTTTTCTCGTGACCAATAAAGCAGGAACCACGGAAACTTGACTATCGTTTCTATAGAATCCTGCCTGCAAACCCCTAAAGAACAAGATGTAGCGGGGACGTGAGAAATGTCCAAGTAACAATCCCCCCACCTTGGAGTTTCTGGCAGGTTCTAGGAACTCCCCTCTCCTAGGAGATACAGCTTTGAGCTCCCTCATCTGGGAGAGCGGAGACTTCACCCCGGAGGTGACTTCCCACCCACTCTCTTCCCACCCGTATCATCCCACCCCGCCCGAGTCCGTTTTCGCGGTTCTATAATTGGAATTAAACCCCAGCTAGGGTGGCAGAAAAGCCACTATGGGTCTGAAAGCAAAAGCCTGGGCGCCAACAGAGTTTCTGTATCGGGGAGTGGGGCTGCAGGGTATCGCGAGAGCCCCTGGTTCCCAGAATTTGATAAAGTTTGCTAAGGGAACTCGCGGCTCTGGTGGTTAGTCCTTAGGAGAGCCCAGAAAGCCGCCTTCAGCTTTGGTGCCTACCGCTCTCTGCAACACTCCCCAGGCTTGTGCCGTCAGCCGTATCTTAAGGGAACTTGTAAAATGATGTGTTCGCCATGAAGGTCTGCAGAAAAATTCTAAACCATACTTTTAAAAGTTAAGTAACTTTGTATGTGCATTTCAACTGCAGGAGACTTGGTTCTCTTAACCAAGGAAATGTTTTCCTCCAATTCGCTCCCTCTCTTCCTTCCTTTCTCCTTTCTCCCCTCTTGCCTTTCTGGGGGCCGGTGGAGGGAAGTAGGTTGTTAAAAGAGCCAGACAACTTGCTGTCCATCTAATGTGAAGTTTGAAGCTAATCAACTTGTAGCCAGATATTGAAGAATTTAACTTCAGACCTCAGTTTTTAATCATTCACAGGATGGAGAGCACGTCACTAAGAAGGTGTCATGCGAATAGAAACAGTGCTTGGATAAGTGTTCATCCACACAGTGGGTTCTGGGGTGCTGGTCGGGGTGGGGTGCAGTTCTCCCATGCTTCTTTGGAGAGATCTAGGAGCAGAGGCATCACAAAGCCTTGTTCCAAGAGGCGGGAACAGGCCAGATTCTGGGCTATACAGGGTGATGCCCCATAGGGTCCCCCAGACTCAGTACCTGAGCAGCAGTACCTCCATGCCCTTCACAGGCTCCAGGAGAGAAATGGTCAGCCCGCAGCAGCCCCTTCTGCGGGCCCGGAGCTTTAGCAGTACCCCTCATTCAAGCTTTCCTGAACTGCTCTGGTCTCCCTGGTTTATCTCAGGCTAATCTTATGTATTTAAAAAGCAGGCACCTGGATTTCCGCGAATCTGTGCAAGCATCAGAGTAGTTGTTGCCCACCCCCCAGTGCTCTGATGCACATTCTTATTTTAACTTGCCCAATAATACTATCTGCACCTTCGAATCTAAACATATAACGTGGAAGCTGCATTTTCAGTGTTTTAGCCATAGAGCTCTTTTGAGTGAGTTCAGAAGGGACACTTTTGGTAAATGGTTTTATGATGTGATTCTTTTCAGAGTTCAGAAGACTTGGTTGTGACCTAATAATCCAGCCTCCAGCCTTTTCCTCCTGGGACTTCTGTCTGCCCCTGTACCCGTAGGTAAACTGAGGTTTCTGGTATCCTTCGGTGAAGTGTGCCCCATTCCACTTCCACTATCATGGAACGGTTTCGAGTGTCAAATAAAAAGCCACAAGAGGGGAAAATGGAGTCAGTTCTGAAACCCACAGTCAAGTGTCTGTCCTTTCCCTTACAGCTGACGTTTACTGTCACAAGTGGATTCGTTCTGGATGAATCAAGCAGTGACTAGCTCTCTATACTGATAGTGATACAGAGGGCTAAGCCCTCTTCTAGAATTTTCCTTTTGAACTTGACCACAACTCTTTATAAAGTCTGAAGAGGTTACAGTGCCTGCCTCTGGCTATGCAAAGCCAGGGTATCTTACCCTCTGCCACTTGTGGGAAAGCCTTCAGAAATAGTTTCCTAACACAAACAGGGTATTCAAGATGACCCCAGCAGGTACTCTGAAAGCTCCATAGAGACAGGAGCTGTGTTGTCTTCTGATTCTCTGAAACCCAACTTAGTGCTTGGGTTTCAGAGACAATAAAAGTTCTGGCCAACAGCAAGCTCCCTCCCTCCTCGGCCATCTTCACTCCAGTGCTTTGTCCATTGTTCAAGCAATTTAATTGTTTTTTAATCCCTCGAAGAATTTAAGCCAGGAAGAGAGTGGACAATCTGACCAAATAATTGAGGGAACTTGGGTTCCACTCTTCATTTATAATGATGGAACTCTTCAAATCTTAGTGAGCAATGGAACTGGACACCTGCTTTGTCTTCCAGAGAGGCCACAGAAGGAGCAGCTTCTGAACTTGGGGTTACTATAGTGTAGCATTGTGGGGACACCTGGGGATACTATAGTGTAGCATTTTAGGAACACCTTGGATAGAGAACATTGTGATCAGGGACAGGATAAGCCTCTTTGGTCTCACTCTGCAAACACAGAAATGCTATATATTTTATCAGATGCTGAAACAGATTTTGTTCCAGAAAAAGAAGGGGGACCAGAGTAGACAGAGAAGATTGGAACTGAGGTGATTGGGAACCAGGTGCTGTTGCTGCTGTGAGATCTAACCCCAGTCACAGCCCATAATCACCTTGGCTGTGCATTTGTCCAGAATTTCCCAGGAAACCTGATGACTGGGATTCCAAGTCTTGGAAAGAGCTGGAAGAGGCCTCTCATCCTGTGATGAGGATACCAGTCCCGATGGTGATTAATTCACCCACTCGTGTGTGTGTGTGTGTGTGTGTGTGTGTGTGTGTGTGTGTGTGTGTGTGAACACCTTACTCTGAATTCTTGAGTTTCTCACATGCACCAGTAACACCTGCAAACCCCTCGGGAGCTGCTACAGGCTTTTGTAAAAGAGGCAAAATCCAACTTTCAGAGTGGTCAGTCTCATGAATTTCAGTAAAATATAAGCTCTCCTTGCAGGAGAGGCACCAACCCTGCCCCATCCTCAGAAGTGTGTCTCAGGATGTCAGTTGGTAAGGACGTTAAGTTTCACCTCTGGAACCTACGTGGAAGGGAGACTCAATTCCTGCAAGTTGTCTTTTGAACTGCAGATGCTAGCTGTGGCACTTGCCCCTTCCTCCATACAAGTAAATGTAATTTTAAAGAATGTTTCACACTGTACCACCTTCAGAGAATATTAGGACTCACTTTGCATTCATTATTGTCTTTCTGTCTTAGAGTCAAAGGGCAGAGGTTTCTTCTGAACGTTTAATTATACAAACGTATCTCTAATGCATTGTGTAATAAACCTTTCAGCCCTTCTTCCTCTTCCTTCCTTTGGAATATTTCCACTTTGCACAAGTAACTTTAATAATGCAGTGAGGTGGAAGAAACTCCTTTCAATAAAATCCAAATTAGGCCGGGCGGTGGTGGCGCACGTCTTTAATCCCAGCACTCGGGAGGCAGAGCCAGGCGGATCTCTGTGAGTTCGAGGCCAGTCTGGGCTACCAAGTGAGTTCCAGGAGAGGCGCAAAGCTACACAGAGAAACCCTGTCTCGAAAAACCAAAAAAAAAATAAAAAAATAAAAAAAAATCCAAATTAGAGGTTGAGCGTGCAGTGCAGCTTAGCGTTAAAGGACTAGCCCGCGTGGCCCCTGAGTTCAACCCTGTTTGGGGTGGAGCTGAATCAATCTGTTCTGCTCTTTTAACAGCCAGGGTAGAAAAGCTGGTTCAGTGAAAACACCCATGTCTCCTCTTCTTTAAAAACTCTGAAGTAACATTTCCTCAAAAGACTCTCTACTCTCGAGGTGACTGGGGACCATTATAAGCAGCTGTTGGGTGAGCATCACACGCTGCTTTCTCTGCTGTGGCACTTGTTGCCCACTTCATAGACCAGAAACCCAAAGCTCCAAGAAATGCCTCACAGAGGCTGAACACAAACCCATGCCAAGGTCTTAATCACTGTGCTAACCTCCATAGTCCGGCTCCATGGTGCACTGGCTTTCCGACCCCCACTTTCCCTTGGAATAATAGAAGTGAGAATTAGCATCTGGTTTAGGCAGTGGAAGGTGCAAGGTTGGAGGGTCCTGAGCACCACTTTTCAAGTTCATGTGCTATCTCTGGCCTCAGGCAGCAGACTGGCAAGGCCGATTCGATCGCATGCTGGCCTGCACTTTCTCACGGCCTGCGTAAATATTGTTGCATTTCCTTGGTTAATTTCCAGGCCCCAGGCTAACAGGCCACCTCTTGCCAGGCTGCAGGCCGTTTCTCTAGCTGGGCAGCCTGCGCAGAGCGGATCAGTGCCCCCTCTGCAGGCGGTCTCAACCGGTCCCAGGGTGTCCAAGCTGTGTCCTCCAGGCCCTTGGCCTTCACCCCAGAGGCACTGCTGTCCATACCCAGAATGCCCAGGGAGGCTGCTGTGGCTGGTCTTCACTCCTGCCCACCCCAGAGGGTGGCCAGAGCCCTGGACGGCCAGAGTCAACCCTAGACAGAGAGAGTAGGAATCCTGCTTGGCTGGTCCAGAGATGCCAGCCGCTGTCCTTTAGCCCTTGGCCATGGGCTAGCCCAGCATGCAGACTTGGGTTTTACCACGAATGTTCCTGTTCTGGAATCAGATGTGGCATCGAGAGCTCCTTCAGACTTTTTTTTCTGTGAGAAAGTCGGTGCCCTCCCGGAGGATGCCCCTAGCCCAAGCCTGGGTTTCCCTCAGTCCCACTTGCTTGTAAATACACAAGGGTGCTTCTTGCTCTGTCTTTAAAAAGCCCCAGACCTGCAGGCACTCAGGCAGCACACAGAAAGAACCTACTCCAGTCCTTAGGAGTAATGTGTGTGGCAAGGCCTGATTGAGCAAAACCTCCAGGGCCTTAGAGATTTCCTAGGTGGGCAGTCCCCAGTGCCCAAATCCTGCGGGAAGCTGAAGCCTGAGAGGTATGATCTGCTCTGCGCTGGAGCAGACTCCTGGAATCCACTTGCTCCCGCACCAGCACAGTCCTCCCCTCACTCCCCACCCTCCATCCTAGGTGGCTCAGGG